TGTGTGTGTGTGTGTGTGTGTGTGTGTGTGTGTGTGTGTGTGTGTGTGTGTGTGTGTGTGTGCATATTTTTCTACCTGGTGGGAATGTTTTTTAATGATTTTCCTGGTACTCGCAGCCTGGTGAGGACCAGCTGTTCCTTATGGGGGAAAAGCCCAGTCCCCATTGGGGTAAATAATATTGGTGGGTCAGAGGTTAGTTTTAGGACTAAGCTGTGAATTGAATTTAGGTTAGACTTAAGGTCAGGTATCTACTGGGGCATTTGTTTGTCTGTCTTTTAGCAAAATAAACTTTACATCTCCATCTTCTGCTGCGGGGGATTCTGATGTTATCTGTCCATGAAATGGACGTTATTAGGTGTTATCAGTCCCATACAATGGCTTCAGAGGGTCCCTACTGTGCCTTCTAGGCTTCAGGCTGTCCCAAGAGTGCTCCCTGTGGTTTATATGTCAATGACAATGAATGTGTAAATAACCAAAAGATATTGTAATAATTTTTTTGTGTCCGTGTCCATGTCGGTCTCAGACACTGGTCTCCCACTCTCTGGTCCGACACTCTACCCATTCCTCTATTGGAAGGCCACAATACACAACTGTTGGAGGGCAGTGTCTTTAGCGGTAACCATGTCTTTTGCTCTAAAGTTAACCTTAGTGGCTTTAAGCCTCATGTTAACCAGTTTTTTATGCCTCATATTAACCAGATAGTGGTTTTATGCCTCATATTAACCAGATAGTAGTTTTATGCCTCATATTAACCAGATAGTAGTTTAATGCCTCATATTAACCAGATAGTGTCTTTATGCCTCATATTAACCAGATAGTGGTTTTATGTCTCATATTAACCAGATAGTGGTTTTATGTCTCATATTAACCAGATAGTAGTTTAATGCCTCATATTAACCAGATAGTAGTTTAATGCCTCATATTAACCAGATAGTGGTTTAATGCCTCATATTAACCAGCTGAAAATCGGAAGCCATTCAATGGGACAGGGAAACTGCTA